AGAATCCACTGCTAAATCCATGATACCTCAGTACCCACTGGCAGCCATTGCTCTGTTGAACAGGAACAAATTAACTCGCTCTAATTATTCAGCAATGGCGACCAATGAGCACAAAGGTGGAGACGTTGGGAGTTTGGCGTTACCGGAGCGGTTGTCGTGCGGTGTGTAGGCAACGTGAAGGTAGACAATTGTTACATGAATATTACATTCCCTCGGCGATAGAATGCGGCGGAATGCAATAATGTGGGAACATAAAACACCATCAATTGTCCATTAAAGAGCGCGCATTTGCTCGAGACGAAGCGAATAAAAAGTGGATGAGTCAATGTTGCCGGCGGGGGCATGTAAGGACAAACGTAAACGAAATGAGCGCGAACGTTTCTATCGCGAGTCGTAAACGTAAAGTTTGTACAAAGTGCGAAATGCGAAATGGTGACATGTGGTAAAGGGGACGCAGAATGCAGACAACCAAATTGAAACCTAAAAGCAAATGACTATAAATGTTTTGGTGCATGTGACGTTTTAAGTGTTATCAATAAGTGTACAGGGTGGAGTATTGCCATTTATAAACAACAGCTATAAAGATAACTAAACAATATCCATTCTATAACAATTATAAAATACTTCAGAAAGTTTTCAGCATATGCAACAAATTGAATGGTATAACATTCCCTGAAGTACAACTTGTACATTTTCATAATGTTACATATTCATGTGATCATCCTGCTTGTTGTACTGTTGTACTTCCAACTTCAATATTTCATAGGTGCTCGTATTCATATTCATATTCCTATTTAATATTTGCATTCGTGTTTGAAGTGATCGTGAGTTTGGTTGAAAACACGTCTGCCGAGAGGAGAACAAAATGAAACATCGAAGGATCCTCCGCGTACAGGAAGCAACACATGCAGCTGTTGTTTTATTACATGCATAAATGAATACGCTCCTTCATCCTGCATCCTGTAACCAGCTAAGCGTAACCAGCAATTAGCTATATGACTTTGCAAGGAAGTAGGAAACTGACGAACTGTCATAACAGACTCAGGCTTATACTAAAATTTAATATGTATTGTTTTCACCTTTTGAGATTGATTAAATCGTGAGTTAAGAACAATAATTTCAGATTTCTAACTCATGCATTCTTGAGCAAGACAACATGATAGCGAAAGCCTAGAACCATTGAACTACATTTATTATACATCTATTGTTAGTACGAGTATTTACCGAGCACGTCGGGATGCTCGAGGACCTTGTGGTACTCTCTCGCGAGAAGCGTTTACGGTCAATGCGAAGCAATGCCATTTAGCACGCCGCTCGCCTACCTGAACTGCGCCACACGAGCTGGAATTTATGTAGCGGCGTAATGGAAGAGCAGTAAAAGTTGTAAATTCCAATTTTCATAAATCACACGGGCACTCGCGCACTCGCGAACTAAGTCAGTGGATAAGTGAATCTACGGCTGGCGTTTACACTATTTTGTGTCCTCCCAGCGCGCGCGATGCTCCGAAAGGGCAACAAAAAGCAAAAGTTCACAAGGATAAGTGTGTCAATTTTCACTACCACTTTTGTTACACACGAATTGTACCAAACATCATTGTATAATATAAATGTAAATTTAATTTTTAATTTACTTCGTGTTTATTTGCTCCATAAATCATCGGCTGAAACGAAAAAGTGTGAATTCAAAAGTTATCATCAAGTGAGGAAATGAAAAGAAGGAACAAAATTAAAAGAATGGTCTTTACAAGAAGCAAATAGGCTAACGTTTGATGATTTATGTGGCAATTACAAATGGGGTATTCTCATCAGCATTCGGATTCCCATTCGCATCGCGCTAATACGCATTAATATGTGAATGTGTTAATAAGCAAAGCAATTAAAAACAGTCTTTGTGGATGCACCAGCGGACGCAATTCGTCGACTTCAATTATAAACTTAATTGAACTGACTACTGAAATAAATTTTGACTGTAATGACTTCAAGTTCATTTGTGTAATATGTATATTCCTAGGTAGTAAATTGTTTACTTTATGAATAGCAAAAATTCAAATTTATATTTTGACTTTTTTTACTTTAGGTTGGTTACATTATCGTGGAATTTATATAAATATAAATTTAATTGATGGTGCATGTGTTCACGACGCCTTCCTTAATTAAAAGAATTGTTGAGTTAATTTAATAATCTCCGAACCGAGTCAATTATAACACGCTCGATGATCTCGCTTGTGATAAGCCTGTTTTTCGGCTGTTTTTAGTATAAACGTAATTTATGTTGATGATTTTATTCCGTCCCGAGCATTTATGTCTTCCGCGTTTCCTAGCTATAGAACCGCGTCGCGTACGAGCAACGCATTCGGTTGAATTTATTCGTAACTCTCGACTCCCGTCGAAACTGTAAACTTTTCAACTAACGACACGCGCAGGCTTGCAGAAGCCGGCATTTTCCATGCATAAAATTTAAATGAATTTATTAACGTCGCGAGCGCATGATGAACGGCGGCGCGCCGCCATTGTCGGAACGAATGTTATGAATCTGTTAATTCCAGGTAAAATATAAAGGGTATAAAGGTATGAATATGAATTTTACGTGCCGATGACTATACAGAAGCTGGCAGCTGAATCTTTGACTAAACATAGTTTTGAATGCGGAGTTTTCAAGTTTGAGCATTTTCAAAGCGCGGAGACATTTTGCTAATTTTCATAGAAAATTCGTTTACGTCTAAGGTGGTTGTGTACAAGGATGTGTACGTGACGACTTCGACGGGTCGGAAAATGTCGCGCAAGTTTTACCCTTCGAATCTGTCAAGTCGCGAAGGAATTACTGCGTCTGGCTGCCGAAGATGCTTTACACTCCTCGAGGCGTCTTCGCTTTCAAGTTCCCAACAAGGATTAGCTATTTTCAAACAGTGATATCGTTTTGTGCACATACCAAACGCAAGATTAAAAGCAAGTTTTCCACCGTGAAAGTTTTTAAGAAAAAAAAAGTGGATTACTTTTACTTTTGCAAAAAATACTTTTTTGAAACTTACGGGCATTTTTATGCCAGCGGTGTAAAACTTACACCAAGTAAGTTGATATTATAACAATGTATTGTTTAATTTCTTTTTTGGACTTTGTTAGTCCTGGACATAAGAGACAGGAGAAAAACTCATCAACAGCTCGAGCTGAATTTGTCGCCAGCCGACTTTTCGCTCGACAACTGCTTTAATATTTATTGCTTGTTTAAATTCTAAACGTCCATCAAAAAACTTGCGACTTGTAAACTTGGAGACTTTTCTGCTTAATTTACCTCGAGTTTTTTTGTTTGTTTTATTTAGATTCATGTTACAACACTGTCAAATGCAGACCAACCCTCATAATAACAAATTTTATCAGTTTACAATAAGCGCCGCGTCGTTAATTCACTTGTCGCGACGCGCGCCCTTTAATGAAGTGGGAAAACGAACGCGTCGAAATAATTTTAAATAAATTTACATTTCATTATGTCGCTTGGCGCATGGATGACAACCGTGCGATGTACGATTATGCCCTGCCATGTGAAGCCAAAGTAGAGCGAAATTCGGTTGGAGCGGCTGAGCCAAATCGAATGCAAACAATTATAATGTCATCGTACATTTAACCACCCATTTACATCCTGTTCGGGATCGACGACACTAGGCAAATATGCCATACAATTACAATTTTGTCGGCAATTGTCATAATTCACTCCCTAAATGCAAGTGCAACTATTGATACCCTGTTTCAACCAAGTCTAATCCTATCCAAGTCAACTCCGAGTCGTCTAGATATGCTCAGGTTTGTGAAAACTAATTTCCTGTTTTAATTGAATTCGTATTTGCGCAATTATCACCCTTTCCGCCGGCTCATGACGTGAATGTGCAAGCAGTGGGTATGCCAAAGATGTAAACCAGCATTTTGTCAGCGTACCAAGTCGCGGCAGTCGTAGTTTGTCGTCACGAGGACTAAATATTTGCGGAACGTTTTACAAATCGCCTTTGGTCTTTACCTTTGCCAGTTTGTCAGTCTCAACGCAATTTCTTAGCATTCTTCGCCGTCGACTCGTCGGGTTTATATTGAACTTGCACTTGAATTCGCCCAATTTCCTCCCTAAATTCTTACAATGAAAGAGAGGGTGGAATTGCAACGGATGCAGCTTCGAAAACAACGAATCACCAAAGAGAATGCAATTATCCTGGTTACTTTGTCACTTTAATGTCACCATTATTTTGTACTTACGAAAATTAAACTTGTCACCGTGAAAAAAACTGGCAATTTTTATTTGACAACACTCCGGTTAAATCCTAAGCCAATTTCTCAACTTGTATTAATGCCGGAATACAAATGTACATTTTACACCAACACGTTTGCGTAATACCTCATTTGTAATTTGTCTCAAGTGTACTCGTGTGTAATTTGTAAACAATTTCAGATTTAGTTTTTTCTGTTGATTTCTGATTTTATCTTTCTTTTACTTGAGCGTCTTAAGTGGAGTTGTTCTCACTCTCGCATGAATATTATGAATATTGCTGCCTACGTTCACGGCTCTTAAGCTACCAGTCAGTAATTTTATGTTAATAATAATATTAGCCTAAAGTGATTTACGACGCTAACGTACATAATCGCACGCGAGGCGACAAATTCTACACGGCAATAATTTTTAACTTAGCAACACCTACTCGATCATTAGTCTTTTAAGATTATTCTACATTCAAAGAATGACTTTAAAAATTTAGCAACTTTACAAACAAACAAAATCCGGTTGATAATTCATTTATTTATGTTATTAGATAACTTATTGGTAATTTTGGAATAAATCTTGTTTGAATTTTTATCTTTAGCGTAGGATTTATCGAAATGTGGATGACAAAACTTACCTGATGGCAATTTATTTATTAGCGTATAAATATTGGTTTTATATGTGCGTGAAATTCATAATAACACCGCAGTTTTGGTAGTTGCAGGTGAAATTTATTCAGCCCGAGGTCAGCATACAAATGAAATAAGAGAATAAAAGGTTTATTATTTTGCTATTATAATGAATACAATTTGTTGCTAAGATTACATAACATTATTATTGTATAGTGTAGTCGTCATTTATCATAACTTGTTCAAACTGGTCATCTACAAAGAAAAAAACATGAAAACAAATTATGCAGTTGGTTTTAGCGATTTAAAATGCTCACCATTTAAAATATTTTCTTTAGTTCCTACGTGATGGTGCTTTGCAAACCGGGGATCCATCCTCAACAATTCTGCAAGGACAGACTCTTGGAAATTCCACAAAATTAATCTGTGCTTCTTTAGTTCCAAATCATCCAATAAAATTTGTAAATTCTATAAACATAAAGAAAAATAAAAACAAAAAATAATAATTTTTATAAATTATTCTAAACTTACCTTGATAACGGTAGCATCTAAAAATTTAATCACACTTCCATCGATTATCACACTAACATTATTCGTACACCTTTCACAAGCTTGTATCACAGTTTCCCGAAGAAACTCCGCGCAAGGGAACATCAAATACGGTGTACTAGGTGTAACAATCAAGCAATCTCCACGCATCTGCACCAACTTTTCCGGCTTGACCTCAATCTTTGGTCTGGCTGTGAGATATAACACGAACAAGAGATTAACACCAATTCCGATAAGAATTCCGTATTCTAAACCGAGGAATAAAGCGGCGATAAATGTGACTGTAAACGGAACTAAGTCCAATTCTGAAACGTAAATATAATTATTATTTTAAGATTTATTGCATTTAAGTAATTGTGATTATGAAATATACTTTTTGTCCTCCATAATGTGGCAATTGCTTCAAATTCAAATAAGTAATACATGCTCACAAGAACTACTGAGGCTAGAGTAGCTTTAGGGATGTATGCAAATGTACTTGTCAAGAATCCCAAAGCTAAAAGTACCATGCTACCGGTGAAGACACCTCCAAGCGGTGTTCGGACTCCTGACGCATTATTTACTGCTGTTCTGGTGAATGATCCAGTTACCGGCATGGACCCAACGAAAGATCCCATAATGTTGCTTACTCCTAAAGCAATAAGTTCCTGAGTAGCATCTAAGGTCTTTCCCTTAGCTAAAATACTAAAGTTAGTAACCTTCCTATAAAAAATGGTACAAAATAGGTACTTACAGAAGGCTTTACCAATCGCAACACTTTCTAAAATGGCTACTAAAGGTACAAAAGCCAATGAACTTCCAAAAGTCTCAATAATTTTACCAAACGAATAATAAGTTCCGTTGTTGGTAATTTCAAATGGTGGGAGTTTGAATGGCGGAAGACCTTCTCCCACCTGATCAATCAAAGTAAACGGAGTTTCCCCATTTTCTTTAAGTATATATGCCAAAGCAGTTCCAACGACAACTATTAAAGCATTTCTTGCTAAAGATATCATCCAGATAGCTTTTTTATACCTATTTTGCGCAGGTGTTAAATTTGGATTTGTTTTCATGCTTCCCAACCTCCTGAGTTCCGTCATCAACACTAAAATGATAATACTGGTAAATCCCAAGATGGCGTCCCATTTGTTCGTGTCGCCTATATTTTCGATCAAATGGATCACACTCTCAAGAAACTCGTTGGCTTTCCCTTTCAAACCAAAGAGTCCCTTAAATTGAGAACTGGCAATACTCATAGCAGCAGCACATGTAAATCCTGCTACTACTGGATATGATATAAACTCCACCACAAAACCTTAAAATATAATATTAAACAATATGTATATTGTATGGTTTGTGGTATTCCAACCATGACATACCTAAATGTAACATTCCTAATATAAAAATAACACAGCCTGACAAAAACGTCAGAATGAGCGCCCCACCAGGTCCCATCTTATCTATATGTGGTTGGGCCATCAGCGCCATGATTGCGGTAGGTCCTATGTTAATATCTTTACAGGATCCGAAAATGCAATACATGAAACATCCCATAAACCCACAATACAAGCCATACTCTGGAGGTAACCCTAAAAGTGTTCTTTAGAAATCGAATTACTCGAATGTGAATAGAATCATACCCGCAACAGATGCATACGCAATTCCTTGAGGAATCTCAGTCAGACCTACTGTAAAACCAGCTAACAAATCCTGAACAAACCAGCTGACCTTATATCGCATGCCCCAATCCAGAATTGGGACCTTCCTGCGTAATACCTGCTTCCATCTTTCCATACCTATAACAGGCCCACGCTTATTCGTCTTTACCGGTATATACGACATGATGTGAAATGAATTCACGATTAATCACAATTCACAACAAACACTTATAAACATCACTATATTTGATTTCTTGCTGCAGCAAAACAACGTTTTCTATATATGAATAGGTTTTAATTTGTTCAATCATGCAAACGTTCTGTTTGTTTGCGTGGAACGATAAGATAATCACAAAATGCAAATCTGAATATTCCGAAATGCCAGAAATAGATATTCAAAACTGCCTGACATGTCTCTACGGTAGCTTATTAACAACTGGTTAACTCATTGAATTTTGCCGCACAATGCAAAAACCTAATTATCTGTAATTACGAGGTTATAGTTGAGTGTGCAGTAATAGTAAAAACAGTATTTGCACAATGAGCACAACAAACACTAGGTACGCACTAAAATTCCATAAAATAAACGAAAATTACACATACCCACCAAAAATTTCGTTCGTAATTATTATATATCAATCAAATGGAATAATGTTTGTATCACAGAACAAATATGCAAGCAAATACGAACACTCGAATTCATATCATGAAATAATATTGTACTTTTAACAAATTCGGCCGAATTTACACGCTACAGTATGCCACATTGTGTAACCACAAACGAAACGCTACATCAACCGCACAAAACAAACCATAATGCTTACCATGCTTGTCATTAACAGTGCTCATTACATCTGCCCCACCGCCGTTGTTATCATGCATAGTTGAAAATATGTACGGCACGTGCTTCTCTCGTAATTGTTAACGCAATCAGCGTGTGTATGATGCTGCTCTACACTCGGAGACGATAAAGCGCGGGGCTCAAGTTTCGAAATTGAATGACGACACAACAAAACCACAGCAAATTTATATATTACGCGCGGGCTTGTTTGTCATAAATATCGGGACTAATCAGGTTTAAAAAGAGATTATGCACGCGTAGAAACTGTCAGAATTGAGACTTGACCTGTGCATAGGGACCCTTCAAAAACTTCCGGATGACCAGATAACGGATATCACACGCACGTAGTCTTTTATCATTAAAACCGAGTATTAGTTCTAAACATGTTTACCGTTTTTTTAATATATCACGTACCAATCGCGGAGATTATTTGTTTTAATTTTAATTTTTTTATATTAAGTGCAAGCTTTAAATACTCAGCCGGCTACATGTTACATGTCACAATCAGTGGGAACATGAGAAATTAAACTTGTGCTTAGTCAGTAATGTGTACATACTCATACTCGTACTGATATAAACCATTTGTAATATTTAAAGTACATACAATTATTTTATGATCACTGCGCTGGCAATTCATGTCTAGACTGGATGATTTCAAGGTAGCGTAAAACTAGCGTTTGACTTATCTTAATTATCATAGGATGATGATAAGTGGCTGCTAATTGAGATGTGTGAAATCTGTGTCAGTGGGTATAAATTAAAAAACTAAACTAAAATTTATCAGTAAAATGTTTTTCCTACTTACTTGCACGTTGTGATGTATTATGACTTGTCTGTGCAGATATAAGAAGTTGATTATCCATGCAGGTGTCTAAGTAGTTCAAGTTGACTGAAACAAAGCAAATAAAAATGTTTGTAAGAATAAATTTATAAATATTGACTATGTCTACATTTGTGAATAGGAAGGTCAATGTCACTAGTAAACTACTACTTCTGTATGCACATAAAATCATCAGAATTTGCACACTTTGTGATTTGCATGCTTGCATAAGTCTACACGTCGGTTTTAGTACCATTTTCAATTATAACTTTTTTTGTAATACAACGCTTCACATTCACGCTACGTTAAATGCGTTTATTGCACATGAAAAGTGCTCACTTGAACTTTAGCTTCGGATTGTTACGCATAGTAGTGCACATCTCTATAAAACTTTTTACGCCATGCAACAACAAGCGACAACTCAAGCCTATAAATAAAATAAATCAACAAATATTTTATTGATTTTGTTGAATTTATCAGTGTTATTTTGTATAATATAATTCGTTAGTGCAGGTTATCAACATGTATGTGCATGCAAAAACTTAATCGGATTTTGTTTAATTATTAAATAAGCTTGTTGCGAACCGTAAATTGGTTCGAAAAACAAACAGCAACAAATATTATTGTAAAGCTGCCATGCATATCAGGAATTGTACACTGCCTACGTAATTGATTAGCATACTAAACTTTTAAGTGGAATTGCGAAACGTGCTAAAAACAAAAATAAAAATTTTTGCGATAATAATGTAGAATTCAATGCATTTCAATATTTTAACGACTGGGAAATACCAAAAATCAGTAATAATTAGTACGTAAAGCATTCATTATCAATTTACATATTTTTGTGCAATCGCTGATGTTGCATTTGTACACAATCAATGCATGCTTAAATTCGCATGTTGTGCGTAGGTGGGATTAACCAGTATAAAGACATAGTAATTTATTGCTAGTTGTTTCAGAGTAGAACATGCATTGTAGTTGTTTGCATTTATCCGTATACAATCGGCAGATTATAGTTTTATGGTATAATGATGCCTACAAATGACGAAAGACGACAATTTACAAAGCAAATCTTAGATAACAGTATCAATATGATATTTGGTCATTGCACCCGTGTAGCATATTAACCTTTATCAAAGCTTATTGAATGTTTAAGCATTACCAAATCAATTTTGCGCTTGTACAACCTACGCAATTTCAATTTAACAATTGAAATAAAGCACTACCACTATGAAATTATAACAGTATCATGACAACAACTTCCTAAATAAATAAATTTGCTTCATTATGTTGAAAGTGACTGCTTTGCGCATTTTTATCGGTTTTATAATTTGAAATTATCCAAGACATTCAGTAATAAACGCGTCCTATACAAAATTAGATTAAAATGTAATTACTGTCTGCGCCAATATACAAACACGCAACATTCACGCGTGTGTATGTCGCACGCCCGCCGGTAATAGAATCAAATAGCTATTAATTACTGCTCGGTGCGCGCGATACCGTGCTCCGCATGATGCTGCACGATCCCATGAATGGAACCCGAAGGCAGTAAACACACATTCAGCGACGCATATGTGCGAAAACTCGTATAAAGCGAATGAATCCTATTCGGTACGTGGTAGTCGCTAATATTTGCTGCTAACTGGAAATGCCTAGAATCCATCCGATGAGATTTTTGAAACCTGATCAAAATCAACATGTGAAACGTTTGGAATTTATCCTAATTACACCAATATTAGTACGAAGTTTAAAAGTTATTGCAAATATCGTAACCAGCAATGTTGACCTGCATACCATTAACAAATATGTGTGTACTTGATAAAAATATGCAGGTATCAAAACAAAATATTTTTCCACAATAATATATTTACTGTTCAAAATGTATTAAACGGTTTATTTCATTCTTATTAAATTCCATTGCAATCTCTTTGTTTGGCTTTGAGTTATGCGAAGAGTAGTAAATACTTACAAGTTTGATCGTTTTCACCCACTGTTTGTTCCCCACAGCGAGCGTTGAAATGAAATTCCCTAAAATATCCTAAAAACCGGGTAAATCTTAATTAAACGCGTGGTACGCGCTCAAAAACTCGGATTTGCGCCTAAGCACACCGAGGGGCTCTTTATTTCTAACCCGAAATTGAAGAAATATTATCACAAAGCGTTTCCCAAAAACCGCTTCCCTTTTATTGCACTTAATTTTGAATTATTTTAAAATTCATTGCCACTTCGAGCGCGGGTTAGCGCGTTCTCGTTGCTTCTTTCGTTTTTCTCATTTTGCACGAGCTGCGAACAAAGGGAACGTTTAGGATCGGCTGAAATTGGGAAACGCAAACATTTTCGGCGTTCCGACCGGATGTAATAACAATAATTTAAATTCATTAAATTATTTCTATAAGCAATTAAAACCCGTTTGAAATTTATACAATTCGACGACAATGCCTTGTTTTACTCACGCAATATACCTCCAGCTGTAAGAAAGCAATTTATTACACTTGAGAAAAATGAAATTTTAATTACAAAAACTCATTGCACTTTTCCAATCTTGCAAGGAAGTTGGTGTGCGTATCAGTCTTGGTTGTCATAGCTGTCCTGATCTTGTTCAGCAGTTCAGCCTCGACCGAATTAAGTTATAATCACTTTTAGGTGTCCCTTCGGGTACTTCTTTTCACTCGTCAACGTTTAATTGGCTCGAAAATCATTTTGCAGCTCGTAAATTATGATTACGACTCGTCGCGAGAAAGTTACGCGCATCCTTTCGACGGCGGCGCGGCGATGGAAGGGTTTTATGTGCGCACATTAAATTCAGCGACGGGTGTACGACTTTCGGGCGGTTGGGAGTTTTATTCTTTTTAACTTTTGCCCGCGAGCCGCGAATGGCGAACGATTTGGAACGCTTTGAAGTTGTTTTAATGTTTTCCGCGCTCTTTTATTACCCGTGGAATTGCGTTGGGAGGATGAAAACTCATTTGGAATCAGATTTTTCCCAAACAAAAATCAAAACTAAAAAAATTACCATGTTACTGAATAAAAATAAAATTAAATTACTACTTGGAACAAATCTAATAATAGTGAAAAGTTTAGACTGTACAGAATTATACAATATCTTTACTCCTGCGAAACAAGTCAAGCGGAATGGACAAAGTCAAATACTAGTCCAACTGTATGTAATTTAATGTTCGGTGCGCCGGTAATAAATATCACCGATTATGGAAAGTGTAACCGACTGCGGGGCGTCGATCATCATAGTAATTTACTGCCGTGTACTTGAAGACGAAATGCACGCAAAATTTGCATTAACAACATCACCGACACTTTAAGCCAAAGTCTATACTGAACAGCGCAACAGTAACAACATAATTTTATATAGGCACTAACAATCGCAAACTATTTTATGTATTTCAATGAAAATTCTGGGTTTAAATTGCGCGGATGCAATTTTAATTGTATTAAGACATTTGCTTTACAATATTCGCAGCAGTTATACTTGTATTGTTTTAAAATAACCAGTATATACCTGCATAGCAGTGCAGCAAAGGTAATTATGGATTCTCATATTCTAGCACGTTCTACAATGTTATTCCACTTAGCTTCGGAGATAGTAGATAGCCGCCGTTGTACATTGCTCTACACAGACAATAGTAATAGAGCGAGTGTCCTCTGGGCATTCAAGGCATCCATAGCAACGTGGAAGAAATACTTAAAAGCTTTTGCAAATAAATCTAATACAAATATTTCTACAGAAAAAACTTTGTTTTTAAATCTGTCAAATTTTCTGTGTGATTTTTTGTCTTTTATGGTTGGATTTCATAACAGCACCTGTGTTAGGCTTTGGATTTGTTTCTGATGACTGTTGATGTACGAGTAGCATGATGAACATTCTCATTGCGTATTGTAGGTATACATCTGCATATTGCCACTTCACCAATCTGCATCCAAATAATGGAAATATCCTGTACACGTTTGTCAACCAAAACATTTTTCACAACAACAAAGTGAGCTCTGTCATATATGAAACCTTTGAAATGATTTCGTAATATGTTTGAACTAAAAATAATATTTAATGAATCCTTCCATTCCTCATATAAAACAATGATATCGCTGAAAAATGATTAATATACCATCATTAGATAAGCACAATTAACGGTCGTTTAGACCACTCCGGAGATGTGCACAGGTTGTCTCTGTTGTGGCGCTGGTAATTAGGAGCTTGTAGGCCCAGCCAGGGGGCCTTTATCAACGCTCGCGCATTCTCGAGAATGCGACATGCAGATGGAAGACACACACATGCGATGACGAGACTGCAATATCGTGCGGCACTCGGCTAATCAATTTCGATCTGGTATCTTGCGGATTCTTCCGACTGTTGCGTTTCTACGACTCACGCAACGAAGAATGATTCAAAAGTGATTCAGGCATGATGCAACTTTAATGGTACGTAAATGGAACAATCGAATGAGAGCACCAAAAGAGGATGCCGAGAAGAACTGGAGAGTTGGCATCTTTCAGAGCATTGTAGACTGGAAAAATTACAAACGCAACGTAAATTATGATGGATTGTGATTGTTAATCGGTGCAGCATATTTAATCGACAGAAAATTTTGTTCTCA